TGACCTCGTCATCTGCCTGCCTCAGCCTCCCAAAGGCTGGTATTACAGGCATGAGCCACCGCGCCCGGCCACCTATTTCCATTTTCAGGGATTACTGTCTCTTTCATCTCAAGTAGCTCAAGTGAATGACTGTTTCTCCGTTGGGTACAGGAGGACTGAGGGTGACCTTACCCTCATGGTGTGCTTGCTTACTTGAATGTCTGATGGTTTTATGGGTATAGTCCTGCTGGAGCAGAAAGAATATTATGCTCTAGTTCTAACTGTGCCCCAAACTCATCGTAGCCTTAGACAATTCTCTCATCTCCCTGGGCCTCAGTTTACGCATCTGGAAAATGATGGGTCTGAATTTAATACCTTGAGTATCTTCCAATTGTGACATACTACAACTCAGGCAAGAAGCAAATTCTGCTAATACTCCATACTCCTATCCAGTGTTCTCTGACATCCTTCCCCAGGAGCTGTGGTACCCTACCCCACCCACATTGTGTGAGGCATTGTAGCACATAGAAGTGTGGTCTCTGGGCTGGGTGCGGTGGCTCATGCTTGTAATCCCAGCACTTTGGGAGGCCAAGTGGGGTGGATCACGAGGTCAGGAGATCAAGACCATCCTGGCTAACACAGTGAAACCTCGTCTCTACTAAAAGTACAAAAAATTAGCTGGGTGTGGTGGCACACGTCTATAGTACCAGCTACTCGGGAGGCTGAGGCAGGAGAATCACTTGAACCTGGGAGGTGGAGCTTGCAGTGAGCCAAGATTGTGCCACTGCACTCCAGTCTGGGCGACAGAGCGAGACTCCATCTCAAAAACAAAAAAAAGAAGTGTGGTCTCTGGAGCCAGACATGACAATCAAATTCAGACCCTCTTACTTACTGACTGTGTAACTTGGACAAGTTACTTAGCATTTAGCATCTCTATTTCTTTAATTATAAAATGAGCATATTAACACTTACTTCCTAGGGCTGTTGTGAAGATAAACTGAGTTGAGATGTGACAGTACCTAGCATGTAGTAAGCATCATTAAATGGCATCTGTTGTTTTCATGTATCGTAAAGAAGAAAGCTTCGTGCGTCTCTTGGAATTTCTCTCTTGCATCTCTGAGGACAGTGAAGCCACAGCTGGGAAAGTCTCAGGGAGCCAGGAGTTGCTGGCCTCCTGCTTTGCATACTAACAATTGCTGGAAAGGGGCTATAGCAGGGAGAGACATTTTTTTAAAATTCCAGTTATTACTACTCCTCGTGAGTATGTATATATCACCTGGCATCAGTACTCCACATAGAAAGAAGCACAGCTAAAGAAAAGACACTTTGCTTTTAATATACCAGCTGTTTTCAGGGGAACAGGGTGCATGGGGTTAGGGACTGCTGGCCCTCTGTCCTCAGGCCTCCCTGTCACCAGCTCAGTCACATCTATCTTGCAAATCCCCATCTAGCAGGAAGCCTACTCTGCCCTTGGACTATAGCCCTGAAAAGTGGTCGTAAGTTACAATGTTCCCAGTGGAAGGAGGACAGTACTTAAAGTTACAAGATGTGGGTTCTGCTCTTAGTTCTTATGGCCTGGCAGCTGGGGAACTCTAGGCCAGTAGAGTTCATCCTTGAACTTCTTTTTTTTTTTTCCAAGACAGAGTCTCACTCTGTCACCAGGTAGATTGCAGTGGCACGGTCTTGGCTCACTGCAACCTCTGCCTCCTGAGTTCAAGTGATTCTCCTGCCTCAGCCTCCCAAGTAGCTGGGATTACAGGTGCTCACCACCATGCCCAGCTAATTTTTGGTATTTTTAGTAGAGACAGGGTTTCACCATGTTGGCCAGGCTGGTCTTGAATTCCTGACCTCAAGTGAGCCACTGTGCCCGGCCCTCATCCTTGAATTTCAGATTCCCACTCCACCTCACTCCCATAGGCATATACCAGTTGTTCCTTTTTCTCTGTTCTTATGCAGGAAATGGCCTGAGGTCCAGGACTCCCCTTGGTTCTCTTTTTCCCTCACTCTCAACATTCAGTTAGTCTTCACCTCTACAGCCGACAATTGTAACTTCTTTTCTTTGTTCCCTTATTTCTTAGGTCACAATAGGAGCTTCTATGTGGTCTTCTTTTTTCTAAAAACACTAATTCAGAACTCTAGTGTGTTTAGATCTTCCTGACTTAAAACCCCTTCCTGGTCTCCATAACCTATTGAAGAAATCCTAAGCTCCCTGGCTTGGCCTCTGTCTACATTTCTCTGATCCCTTCCAGCTCTTTCTCTGTATCCTAGCCATAACAAACTACTTGCAATTCCCAAACAGGGTACACGCTGTACTAGTTGTTCCTACAAGAGACAGGAACACACATCCCCCGACACTAGCTTAACAAAACAAAAAAATGTATGTCTCTCTCATGCAAAAGAAGTTCAAAGGTAGACATTCCAAAGTTAAAATGGTGTTCCAGTGTCAGAATCTAAGTTCTTTCTACTTCGTGGGTTTGCCTTTCTCAGCATATGACTTCACTTTATGGCCCAAAATGACTGCTCAAGCTCCAGCCATCACAACCACATTTCAGCCAACAGGAAGAAGGAACAAGGAAAGGCATAACTTTGCCTCTAAGGATAGTTCCTGGAAGTCACACTTGCTTACATACCATTGGCCAGAGTTAGTCACCCAGCCATATTTATCTATAAGAGAGGCTATGAAATTTTTTTATTTCAGGGAATCTATTTTAGGTTGCCATGTGCACAAGTAAAAACCAGAGGTATTGGTGATCAGAGAAGAAAGAGAGAATGGATACTGGGTGACATCTAGCAGTCTCTGCCACACACTCACACATTCAGGGGTTTGCACTTGGTTCCCTTTGTCTCGGACATCCCCTCTCTCATGCTTACAATCTCTGCTTGGCATCTCTTTTTTGCCCTTTAACACTCACCCCCCTTCCCCACCGTTTTTTTTTTTTTTTTTTTTTTTTTTTTTTGAGATGAAGTCTCGCTCTGTTGCCAGGCTGGAGAGCAATGGCGCAATCTTGGCTCACTGCCAGCTCCGCCTCCTGGGTTCAAGTGATTCTCCTGCCTCAGCCTCCCCAGCAGCTGGGACTACAGGCACCCACCACCATGCCCAGCTAATTTTTGTATTTTCAGTAGAGATGGGGTTTCACTGTGTTGGCCAGGATGGTCTCAATCTCTTGACCTCGTGATCCGCCCACCTCTGCCTCCCAAAGTGCTGGGATTACAGGCATGAGTCACCGCGCCCGGCCCAACACTTGCTCATTTTATGGCCATCCTCCTACTACCTCTGTTTTTGCACCGTCAGAGCGTGTTAACCATTGTTCAACTGTCCACCTTTCCCGCTACCCTGTGACCTCCTGGAGGGCAGGGACTGTGTCTTTCCTTTGGCTCCTTAGCACCCAGTATAGCTGCACAACCTCCCGCCAAGGTGGACCCACCACCAGTATTTCTTGTCTCAAAGATAGATTGAGGAAATGAGAGTATATTCTTCAGGCTTCCGGGAACTTCCTTACGTCTGTAGGATGGTATGGGGATGGGGATAGCTCAGTGATTGTAGGGGCTTGCGGCAGATTGCTAGATTGCTATTCTTTGGGTTGCACACGGGCCGTCTCCCTTGCCATAGTTTTTTCCAGATACTGCAGTGACATTAATTAGGTCTCAGCCTTGGTGATGTAGACCAAGATGGAGAGGGATTATTTTCGTGATTCTTGCTTTCATTTCAGTCAATTCTTGATTTGATTTCTGCCATTTATTCCTCTCAATTTTTACCTGGGCAACATCATCTCCCACCTGCTTTTTAAGGTGCATGTTGACAGCTGATTTCATATATTAGTTCTGGCTTTCTTAAGAGGGACACAGCTCCCTTCATTCTTAAGCCTTTGGGGCTACTTTTCTTTCTCATTCACTCATGATCTCCATTTGATCCACAACACAGCTCCTGTTTGAGAGAGCAGAGCAAACATGTTATTCCCATTTCACAGATAAGAAAATGAGGGCCTGGTAATATTACTCTGTTTGCTCAAGATCATAGGAAAGTTAGTGGCAAAGCCAAGAGTTGTTTCTGGATCTTTTTGTATCCAAGACCAGTATCTTTTGCCATACTTTTCTTTATTTTGATAAGTAATTAACATTTACATGTATAATTTCCCCCCAGAATTTGGATTCTTTCTTAGGATAGATTCCCAAACATGGAAATATTGAGTCAAAGAGTATAAATATGCTTTTTTTTTTTTAAAAAAAAAAAAACAAACCAAAAAAACCACTCTTAATACATTTTGCAGAATTATTCAAGCTAGGTTGTCACACTCATGTTTAAGCCAGGCAGGTGTAACCACCCATATGCAGGCCACCCCAGGAGCCAGTGTGGTAGGGAAGGGCCATAGGCAGCCATCGCTGGATCCCTCAGCCAGCAGAGGCACACATGAGCTTCTCACCGGCCTGGTGAGAGTCTCCTGTTGGGAGGTGCGCATTTTTGCACGCACTCTGGCCTCTCTACACCAACTGAATATTTCATCTGGTGCTCAGCCACAAGCACAGCCATCTGTTCCAGTGCTGCAGAAACTATTGGCTGTGTTGGACTTTGTGAGAGATCCTGTGTCAGTCTCCACCACGATGTGTATGTAGTGTGCTGGACTTTCTAGGTGACTGAAAGGATTCCAGAGATAATTTTGATTATATGAGTCCCTGACTTCAGACTCTACTCTTGTGACCCCCACACAAGGTGTGACCCCAGGAGGCTGGGATGCCATGCTGTTTTCACTGTACCCTTGCCCCCGTAATCTCAAAGCCTGAGTGGATGGAACCCTTTCTATTCTATGGCTAGTGGCTTGTGATAAATGTCCTTTCGGGTCAACGCTGTGCAGGCTGGCATCTTTACCTTTCTTTCACTGAAGTTAAGTACCACACCAGAACTTAGAAGTCTCACAGGGGACTCTGGGGTCTCAGGCTGTACCTTGTGCTGTGTCAGCTATTACTTCATGTCAAACAGTTGCATATGAATGTTCAAGTGACAGCTTATCTCTTTCTTCCTGTAGTTGGTTACCACAGAGAAGCGCTTCCTCAAAGACAGTTTGTACAATGAAGGAATCCTAATCGTATGGGACCCATCTGTATACCATTCAGATATCCCAAAGGTAAGTGGGTGTCCATGGGAAATAGGGGTTGAGCTTCCTGTCTGTCTACAGATTTTCCTGATTTCCTAGGTTTTTAAAGTCATGGCTGACATTGGCTATCCCTAAAGGCTGGGCATTTGAGTTTTAGAATACCCCATTTTGTCTGGACTAGCAGATTCAGAAGTATTCCTGTCCTATGCCAGCTACTCTCCTTGCCCTGCCAGGCACTGCCAGGTATTGTCTCCCAGTTATAGTATTTACTGGGATAGTGGCTGGAGCTCCCAACATCTGGGGTAGGTTGTTCATTAATGCAGTTATTCCTAATGAGCATCAGCAGAACTCGAGAGTAGTTGCCATTACTCCTGTAAATAATATTAGCACGCTTATTTCACACTTCCAGTATCCAGAATTCTTCCCATTTCACTCTCATAACAGTTTAAGGAGATCAATGGAAGTGTAGTTGTTCCCATTTTACAGACGGGGAATTGGAGTGTGGAGAATGAAAGTCCCCGTCCCAGGGCTTGATGTACTAAGCAGAAGGTGGAGATCTGCGACAGCAGCTCTTTCCAGGGAAGGAGGCCTGAGTGGAGGCCTGCTGGATTCTAACCTCTCTGGAGTAGTTCTCTCACTGTTCATGCATGTCAGTTGACCTCTCTCTGATACAGGCTGCTGTGGCCTCAGGACCATGACTCCTGAGAAGGGCAGAGAACACTCATCTTGGGACACTTAACTCTTAAGTTGTCTCTACCAATGCCTGACAGGCTCTGGCGACCCCTGGCACCCTCACTATCTGACTTTCAACAGTTTTGCACTGATCTCACTTAGAACTCAAATTTGCCTAGGTCGGGACAAGGACTCTGAACCCATAGATGTGGCAACCTATGCTCTAGTTTTCTCCCCTTTAAAAATGAGAGATGGGGCCAGATGGTAGCTGGGGCTCTTTTCGGCTCTGATAGTGTTCCCGGACTCTGATCCTGAAGCCTGAGGCTGATCCTGGGTCGCCAAGCTCAACTCTCCCCAAAAGCACAGGCGACAGGCAAGGCCCCACCCTGCTATCCAGTGAAACCTGTGACCGGAAGAGAAGCCTGTAGTCCGCTGCAAGAAAAGGGCTGTGCCTCAGGAGCAACCTTGTTGGTCCTTTCCCCTCCCCGTGGCCACTGATGAGGATGACTCCTGGGGGGAGCAGCTCACTGGCCCATTTCTCCCTTGAAAGGACCACTTCTTTCTTTTTCAGTGGTACCAGAATCCGGATTATAATTTCTTTAATAACTACAAGAGTTATCGTAAGCTGCACCCCAATCAGCCCTTTTACATCCTCAAGCCCCAGATGCCTTGGGAGCTGTGGGACATTCTTCAAGAAATCTCCCCAGAAGAGATTCAGCCAAACCCCCCATCCTCTGGGATGCTTGGTGAGTTCATGTCGGGGAAAAGACCTTGCGTGTTTGTTTCTAGAAGAGATGAGCTTTTTGTCTGAGGTCTCATTCATTCATTCGTTCGTTCATTTGTTTGTCCACTAAACAATTGCTAGAATTTTGCTCTGCTTATACACCGTGCCAAGTTCTATCTAAAATACAGAGGTGAATAAGATAGAATTCTTTTTCCTGAGGGTATCTATTGGGGAGGTCAATCAGATGTCTGAGGCAATATTCAATTTGTGCCAGAAGGGAGAGACAACCTGGGGTCATAGGAGAGAGGACACCTTCTAGCTGGACAGTCACGTGTAGCCTCATGCAGGAAGTAGCATTTGGTAGGCTTTGGAGAGGGGAGAATTTGGCAGAGGAAGATAGAGGGAAGGGAAGCCACGAACAGGGGAGGGAGGCGGGAAAATGAGGAGCGGGGCTGTATCTCAGATGAGGGGAGCAAGGCACTTTTCTCAGATGTACAATTTAAGGGGGCACCCCTTAAAAACTCACTCATCAAGATAAATAACATTGTAATACAGTATCTTCAGAAAACACAATGTAAAAATTCTGATGAATGAAATATCAAATATTTAAATAAAGATAGGATCAGTGGCAGTGCTGTGCAGAGTTTATTGGAACAGTGCTGGCCAGGGGCCCTCTCCTTGGATTTTCTCCACACCTCATCATACAGGCTGTGGAGTGTCCTGTTCCAGCTGTCCCTTTGCCCAGCTAAGGGAAGAAAAGTCTTCCCTCCCCAACACTGTTTCATGTAAGTGCTGTAAGGAAAAATCTGCTCCCAAATTGCATCATCCAAGAGGTTCTGCAGGATGTCACAGTGCTAGAAAGTGCTAGCTACACATGATGGCACTGTCTCCTCAATCAGCTCAGTAATCTTATCCTGTTTCTTCAAATAAATTACTCCATGGATACATTCATTGGCTGATTGATGGAGTCGTTTAATCTACTAGCATTTAGGGAGCATCTGTTATTCACCAGGCCGTGGCCTAGGTGCTGGGGATTCAAAGGTGTGTCACGCTCATACAGCCCTGCGTCCTAAGGAACACTGCTGGGCTTGGCTTGCTGAAACTTGGATTGGGAATCACAGTCATAAATAGAAACTCCAGAGGGAAAGCTCTCCAAATTTGGGGTCAGGAGCTGCTGGACCCACTGGGCAGAGCTCTGGGGTGCTGGGGTGGGTTGTCAGGCATGACTCACCTCTGCTCCCCTCTCCAGGTATCATCATCATGATGACCCTGTGTGACCAGGTGGATATTTATGAGTTCCTCCCATCCAAGCGCAAGACCGACGTGTGCTACTACTACCAGAAGTTCTTCGATAGTGCCTGCACGATGGGCGCCTACCACCCACTGCTCTATGAGAAGAATTTGGTGAAGCATCTCAACCAGGGCACAGATGAGGACATCTACCTGCTTGGAAAAGCCACACTGCCTGGCTTCCGGACCATTCACTGCTAAGCACAGGCCCTTCACTCTTCTCCATCAGGCATTAAATGGATGGTCTCTTGGCCACCCCAGCCTGGGAAGAACATTTTCCTGAGCAATTCCAGCCTGTTCCTTTTCCTCTAGGGGCCTCTGTCAGCAAGAGCACTGGGGCTTCAGGAGCCTGTGGTCAAGAAATCAGGTCCAGCCTTCTCTGTAGCCAGGCAGTTTATGAGCCCAGAGCTTCCCGCCACACACATGCACACATGTCTAGCATTCTTTCCAGACAGCATCCTCCCCACCTTCCACCGTGGTAGATGCAAGATCTGCCTCCCCCATCAGGGCTGCCAAAGCTGGGCTTTGTTTCTCCCAACAGAATGATGCCATTCTCACAAACCAAAGCTCTATATTGCTTGAAGTCTGCATCTAAATATTGATTTCATGTTTTAAAGAAATTCTCCCAAATTACAATTGTGCCCAATGGAGGGTGGCTCTGCGGGGCAAGTAGGTGGTACAGGGGATTGGAAACATGCTCCACGCATCCAGAAAAAAGTTGCTTCCGAGGTCCATGCCCCCTGGAACATGTTCCTATCACTCTGGCTGGTTAGGCTGGGGCTTGGTTAGCCCACTCTCCCTCTCCATGTGGAGATGGAAGGTAGAGAAGGATACAGTGTCTGTCCTCAAGTTGCTACAGTTCAGTGAGAGAGGCAGACATCTGAACAGGCAGATAGGATTCAGTGTGCTCAGTGCACTGGGGATTTGTAGAGAGATGGGCTTGCTCTCTGGGCACCCAGGAGGGCCACGCACTTAAACTGTGTTTGTGGATCAGAGAAGGCTTTAGAGCACAGCGGGCACTCAGATGAGTCTTAGAGGAAGAGAAGAAACATGGCAAGCAGATTACATCTGAGCCATTTGAGTTGCATTTTTCTTTCTTCCCATATTTACTTTCTAAGATCTACCTGAACTTAGAGACCCAAGATATTTTTTTAGGAAACCTCTTACCCATGTCTGAGGTAGCAAGTGCAGCTTCATGACACATACGAGGCATTGCAGATCCCCGAAACCTGATTTCTCCAGGCTCTGCCTGGCCTGACCCTATCCTGTCAGCTGGGTTTGCATACCACAGTCCCATTCTTCCTTTTCAATACCTACCCCCAAATCTCCTCCTAACCACCATCGGTTTTTTTTCTTTTTCTTTTCCTTTTCAAGTCATCTTCCCCTCCCAAATTACTTTTAAGCCTTTTTTGCTTTTAAAGCATCCTGACCCCAATTTCTTTGAGCGCACGGGCATTTTGCTGAAGGTCTCTCAAGGAGTAGTGGTGTGGCTCTCTGGACTTACGTCACTCTCAGAGGTCAGAACCTTGGAGAGCAGAACTGATTCTCACCAGGTGTGAGAGGTGTGCTAGCAGATTGCAATGCCCTGCACCTCTTCCTTGCAAGGGAGCAACATCAGGCTCTCTGAGCAGAGGCCGGCCCACTGGGGTTCGCAAACATGCTCTCCAGATGGTTTTACCAAGTCCCCTCTCCCTGATAGGGAATCCTGCTGGACCAGCACGGCCCTGGTGTGGAGAGGTTAAAAGACTTGCACAAGATCAGCAAGTCATGCTGTAGAGCCAGGGTTCCTAGACTCAGGGTTCTGCACTATGTGCTCAAGGGGATCTAATGTTTGGGCTCCAAACCAACCATCTTGGAGCTGGGATCCTCATTTACTGCCAAACCCTCAGCTTAGGTAGCTAGAAGGGCCCTGGAGTGAGAAGGCCTGGACTTTCAAACTGATGCTCCCCTATGACTCGCTGTGCCACTGTGGGCAAATGCTCTTCCTTGAGCCTCTGTTTCCACACCTGTAAAGTGGCGATGATGACCCTGTCTCACAGTGCTGTTGTGAGGATCACACCTGTAAAGTGGGGATGATGACCCTGTCTCACAGTGCTGTTGTGAGGATCACACCTGTAAAGTGGGGATGATGACCCTGTCTCACAGTGCTGTTGTAGGGGATCACACCTGTAAGTCAGGATGATGACCCTGTCTCACAGTGCTGTTGTAGAGATCACACCTGTAAGTGGGGATGATGGCCCTGTCTCACAGTGCTGTTGTGAGATCCTGTAAAGTGGGGATGATGACCTTGTCTCACAGTGCTGTTGTGAGGATCACACCTGTAAAGTGGCAATGATGACCCTGTCTCACAGTGCTGTTGTGAGGATACAGGAAAGATGATGACCCTGTCTCACAGTGCTGTTGTGAGGATTACAGGAAAGCCCCTGTCCTGGCTCTGTACCTGGCACATAGTAGGTGCTCAGTTCATGCTGGTTTCCTTCCTGCCTTCAGTAGGGACCTGCTCTGTGCTCACACCTCGGCTGCATGCACCCTGCTGTGACGGAGGCTAGTGGGGAAGAGGTCCTGTTCTCAGGGAATTAACTGTTTTATTGGGAGACAACAACTGCCCTCCTTGGAATACCCAAGAAACCTTGCAAAACGGTGGACAACACAGAACACGCCCTCCTCCTCGCTGCCTGCAGCTCCAGTCTGATTCTGCTTGGGAATGAGCAGAGCACGTGGGCTGCTTAACTGCTGTATAGGACAAGCCCTTTACCCCTCTCTGGGCCCATGAATTCCTGGCTTGGTTTATGTTCTGATTTGACACACTCATTTTAATCTTCGAATCATGACCACTGAGTGCAGAGGAGGTGGCATTCTGACAGCAGGACATACATGTTGTTGTGGAGACTGGGACGACACTGGGTAGAATCTAGTTTTTAATTATTATTAATATAAAGGACCAAATTAATTTAAATGTGATTCTGAAGTCTACAGAACTTTTAGTTCTGTGCTGTCTATATGTGGACACTCTGGTAAAATGCAAATTATGATATGGATGTTATCGTTGGTCTGGTGAGATGTTTCATATTTATGACAGTTAATTTAGAAATTATGACTTAATGCTGCCTCTGTCTATGGGGTTCTGTCTTCTTTGATAGCCATGTATTCATCTGGATCACGGGGCCCTCTCTAATCCTTCCACCAATCAAATAAGCTATTGCTGTTGGTTTGGAGTTGAGACATCAGTCTCAGAAACTTCTGAAAAATGCCTAAGCTAATTCTGAATTACCCAAGGATTATGTCAAATTTTAAAATAAATGTGTGTGTGTGTTTTTAAGCTGCTTCTCTCTTCTTATTTGCTAAAGGAACAACTGCCGATTGCCAACTTTTATCTCCAAAGAGGACACAACTGAGATCCTGAACCCCCCAGTCCTTACCCACTAGCTCCTCTAGCTTTAGACTTACTCTTCAGTACTCCAGGAAAAAAAAAAATGTGTATTTATTGGAAAGATCACCTCTTTGAAATATTGACTGGTTTACTAATTTTTTTATTTTTAATTTTTGCTCTTGCCTGGATTCATATAACTAATCTGTCACATCAAACAAGAGATGGAGTTGGGCAGAAAGCAGAACATAAGGAAGATCCTTCCCTTGGTTTCCAAAACTCTAAAATCCTTAAATGAATGATGTCTTAAAAGGACTTACAATGTTTGGACACAAATCCTGAGGAGGAGCATGAGTCGGGGGAGAGAGGATGATTCCTTTCTCCTGTGAACTGCCCACCCCCTTGTTATGGGTTGAATTGTGTCCCCCAAAATTCAGATGTCTGAAGTCCTAACCCCCCAGTACCTCAGAATATGACCTTATTTGGAAATAGGGTCATTGCAGATGTAATTAGTTAAGGTGAGGTCATCTTGGAATAGGGTGGGCCCCTACTCCAGTGTGACTGGTGTCCTTTTGAAATGTGGAAATTTGGAGATCGGCTTGCACACAGGGAGAACACCATGAAGGCTGAGCTCACGGAGACACCAAGCACCTGCAACCTCCACTCCCAGCCCACTAGTAGGGTTCTCCTCACTGACAAAGCCCGATTCTCAGTGTCTTAGATGCTGCTCTTAGAGAGTGCTTCATGGCCTAGCAGTGTGCTGAAGCCTCTAGAGCCATGAGCAAGATGGGAGAAAGGACACACAGGACTCAGGGACTGCCACCTCCTTCCTAGTCCCAGGTCCTTGTCCTCTGGATGGCCTTGGTTTCCACTTCCCTCATGGCCCCCAGCGCAGCCCCTGGGATGTGTTGTAATGTGATAGAAAGTGGCTGTAACGCTGCTTTCCACTCTCACTTAGGCCAGGAACACTTGCTCAGGAAACTCACGCTATGGATGGGATAATGGCATCAACTCAGGAGAGAGGAAAAGGCCTTCTCAGTACCCTTGAAATCCCACCACCCAAAGCACTGATGTCCCCATCCAGGTGTTCTCAGGATTAATCAGAAAACAAGTTTATAATGGGAAGAGGAATTCTCTTCGATCCAGTGAATACACATTAAACAGCCGTCATGTGCCTGGCACTGGGAACAGGATGAAAACCCACAGCACCTGCCCCCCAAAGAAATGGAGGGCCACAGGAATGGGCCTGCCCTGCCTGTGGATAGGTATTATCATGCTAATGTGAGATGAGTGATGTTACTATCTGGAAAGCTAAACCTGGATAGCACTGCTATTGTTAGGCACACATTCATAACTGCTTAGAAGAAAAATAGTATGCAAATGCCAAATATGAAGATGTGATAATACAAGGTAGTAAAATAATGTCATTATAGGGGAAACATTCATTTTAACAGGGAGATTTGGGGAGTCTTGAGGATGGGCAAGATGCGTTTTTCTTCAAGTAAAATGCACCTTCTGATTATGAAAGTAATACATATTCAGTGTCAAAAGAACAGAAAATTTTAAAAAGAGAAAAAGAATCACCTTCCACATCCTATAATCCAAAGGTAACCTCTACCAGCAGTTTCCAATTCTACTTTAAAATACAATATTTTTATACAAATAAAAACACATCTTTTTATTTAAAAAATACATTATTCAAATGCCTCTGGATCATTAAGGACTTTTTTGAAAACAGGCTTTGTAATCGTTGAATGATATTCTATCATAAGGATGGGTTACAATTTACACACAACTTGTTCCTAGAGTTGGGCATGCAGCTTATTTACGTTTGTTTTCTCCAAAATACCAAATATATAAGCACATGTTCTCATCTCTGATTGTATCCTGAGGTGGGAAGTGGGCTCAGGGGGTGGGCTGTGTACTATTTTCCCCTCAGGAATTGTGGCTGGGAGACTCAGAATCATATTAGGGGAACTTCTGGAACAGTCTTAGAGAATTAGAAAAAGACAGACCAGGGAATAAACTGAAGGCAGCATTACAGGATTGCTGGGAACTCTGTTACTTTCTCTGGTTAATTATTTTGTTATTTTTTGGTGTTTGTTTCTCCACACAAATTAGTCATAACAACCTCCAAAATGAAGAGTCTGTATTTGTTATATGCGGCTAACAAATGACTTCAAAATTTAGCAGCTTAAAACAAAAGTATATTAGTTTGCTAAAGCTGCCATAACAAAATGCCACCGACTGTGTGGCTTAACCAACAGAGATTTCTTTTCTCACAGATCTGGAGGCTGGAAGTCCAAAGTCAAATTGTCAGCAGGGTTGGTTTCTCCCAAGGCCTCTCCTGTTGGTTTGCAGATGACCACCTGCTTGCTGTGTCCTCACACAGCCTCTCCTCTGTACACATGATCCCTGGTTGTCTCTGTGTCCAAACCTCCTCTTACAAGGAGACCAGTCAAATTGGGTTAGGGCCCACCCTAACGACCTCATTTTAAATTAATCACCTCTTTAAAGGCCGTCCCTCCAAATACAGTCACATGCTGAGGATTGAGGATAAGGACTTCAGCATATGAATTCTGAGGGGACACAATTGAGCTCATAACAAGCAATAAACATTATTTTCTCACACGGTTACTATGAGTCCAAAATTTATGAGTCATTTAGCTAGATACTTCTGGCTTGGGGTCTCAAAGATTGCAGCCAAGGTGGCAGCTAGGGCTTTCATTATCATCAGAGCTTAGTACAGTATATACCCTATATTTCATTCTTTTCTTTTCTTTTTTTTGAGACCGAGTCTCGCTCTGTCTCCAGGCTGGAGAGCTGCATCACGATCTGTGCTCACTGCAATCTCCGACTCCCTGGTTCAAGCGATTCTCCTGCTTCAGCCTCCTGAGTAGCTGGGATTACAGGCGCCCACCACCACGCCCAGCTAATTTTTGTATGTTTAGTAGAGACGGAGTTTCACCATGTCGGCCAGGATGGTCTCGATCTCCTGACCTCGTGATCCTCTTGCCTCGGCCTCCCAAAGTGCTGGGATTCCGTGTGTGAGCCACTGCACCCAGCCTATACCCTATATTTCATTCTGCCTTTCAAACTACCAAGTTTTCTGTTGCCTTATGTTTTACAATATAATTTAACCTACATTTCCTCTCTTATCAGAGTCAGGAATGAAACAGTATCTTGTATTTTTATAAGATAAGAAGTTTGACACACTTTGATTTTTTATCACCTATCCTTAGTTTTTATTAACATTAGAATTTTGGATTCAGAATATCATTGTTCTTTGGAAAATAATTTTTAGTAATATCATTCAGCTTTATAATCAAAATTACAATGTATTTTTAAGGCACATTTCTATTCTACCCTTTTATACATGACAACTCCATTCTTTTTGAGACAGAGTCTTGCTCTGTCGCCCAAGCTGGAGCGCAGTGGTGCGATCTTTGCTCACTGCAACCTTCAGCTCCAGATTCAAGTGAGCCTCCCAAGTAGCTGGGATTACTGGGATTACCGGGCTCCATTCTTTTTCTTTCTTTCTTTTTGAGACAGAGTCTCACCCTGTCACCCAGGCTGGAATGCATGGTATGACAGTTCACTGCAGCTTTCGCCTCCTGGGGTCAAGCGATTCTCCTGCCTCAGCCTCATGAGTAGCTGGGACTACAGGTGCACGCCACCATACCCGGCTAATTTTTTGTATTTTTAGTAGAGACGGGGTTTCACCATGTAGACCAGGCTGGTCTTGAACTCCTGACCTCATCTTTCTGCCTCGGCCTCCCAAAGTACT